TGGGAAAGGGGGGGCAGAGTGAGCAGGGAAAGGGCGGTCTGCAGGCTGCCAGACCGAGCCCACCGATGGAGCCCACCAGACCATGCCACCAGACAGCCCACCAGACAGAGCCACCAGACAGAGCCACCAGACCGAGCCCACCAGACAGCCCACCAGGCCGAGCCCACCAGACCGAGCCCACCAGGCCGAGCCCACCAGACTGAGCCCACCAGACCATGCCCACCAGATAGAGCCCACCAGACTGAGCCCACCAGATAGAGCCCACCAGATAGAGCCCACCAGACCGTGCCCGGGACTGTCAGGCCCAGGAGAAGCACCATCAAGGGCTTGGGGAAGTGGAAGCGTTCATTTTGGATAGAGACAATTTCAGGAGCAGACCGAGCCGGACCCCAGGCCCTCCAGCTTCTCACACCTTTATCCGGCCCTGAGGCTAAAGCAGCCCAAGCATTCCAGGCCATCCTGCAGCTCGAGGGACACACCAGGTGCCTTGGCATGTCCAGAGCCCAAAGGGAGCGGTGGAGGGGATTTGCTGCGTGACCTTGCCCCCGGGGGTGCACTCGGCACCAGTGAGTGGCAAGAATTCAGGGGCCCCCAGTGTTTATCACTATAAGGATGGGACATTTACACGTTTATTTATCTATGTATGTAATGTGACCAGAGTGACAGAAAGTGAGAAACCAAGCCACCAGTTCCGGGACTTGAACTGCGATCAGCCATGTGGAGTCCAGTGCCTTAACCACCACACCACCTGCTGGCCCCACAGGTGTAAATTTTTTAAACCCAATATTTAAAGGCTTACCTTACTGTAACATGCCAACTCCTGATTTTTTCTAATTCCATTCCAAATTTTGTTTCCAATTACAAAAACAAAGTTATGTGTATATAATTTGATAAACTCACTTAACATCACGAGCATTGACAAGTTCTCGCTTGAACCTCAGCCGCTTCGAGTCCAGCTAACCAGGTGAATTAGCATGCGGTCCTCACACACCGGCTGCAGGTTCCGTGCACGTAAAAAGCGGTGCTTTGTCCAGCAACGTCCACATCTAGTTTAGATACCGAATTTGCAGAGGAGGAGGCCCAGCCTAGGAAGCACCATCCATAGCAGACAGACTGCAGTGCTGCACTGGCTGACAGTAGGTTCAGTCCCCGGGTGCACCAGAGTAATTTAAAATAATTTCTTATTAAAAAGTGGGAAATACCATCTGTCACACCTCAGATGTGGAGGCACCATCTTCTTTTATTTTTTTTGTGTGTGAGGTTTTTGCTCTAGGGCGCGTGCACTCCCCAAAGAGACAGAAAGTGAGAAATCACCCCCCAGGGGGGATGGCCACGCTGCAATCCCTTCTCCTCCACTCTCCTCTCAGGATCGTGGGCACGCACACATGCCCAGCATGAGTTTAAGCCGCCAGGTCCAGGACCCGAACTGCGATTGACTGGGAGTCCAGCGACACAGCCATTACGCCGACTGCTGGTCCCGACCAGCACCATTTTCACCAGTCCTCAGCAGCACCCTTAATGTCAGGCTGTCAGGTCCAATGGCTGATGAAGGACTGCCCGGTGTCTAGCGCCCCCAGGTGTCCAGTGACCCCAGCGGCAGACTGACGGGGAGTGCCTGCCACGGGCTAAGCACTGGCTGGGCACCGAGACCCGTGTGAGCAAAACAGACCCCCTTTCTGCTCGAGGGACACGTCGCTCATGTGACCCAACCCCAGGGCTTGCTCCGTGATGGCGTTGGGACTGAGCACCCAGGGCCCGATAATGACGGGAGAGCCGTCAGGCTCACAGACCCGCCGACTGCGAGGCACGCTCCTGCTGCCACACAGGCAGTGTCTAGGTGCAAGGCTCGTGCTGGCTGCGGTGGCTGCAGGGTGATAGGCATGCTGCACTGTGGGCCAGCGACCACCTGCCCTCCCCTCGCGATCCCCGGGCCGTGGGAGGCAGACCTGGGAACAGGAAGGGCCCATGTGACCCAGCTGCCCACCAGCACAGCTAAGCGTGCCTGTTAGGGGTGCAGGGTGGGGTGGGGCCGGCATGTGCGTGCACTGAGCCAGAAGTCACCCCATTGCAGGGTGCCTCCCTCCTTGTCTCAATCTCTCCATCTCTCTCTGGCCAAGGTACACACTCTCTGGCAATTAAAAAAAAAAAAAAAGGAAAGCAAATGAAGACAGAAGGTCCAGGGTGACACTACTGACCAGTCTGGCACAGCTAGTGGCAGGGTTCGTCCCTCGATTCTGCTGGGGTCCTCCTTAGCAAACGTCGTCGGTGACACGACCACAGGAAGGCATGCGAGACCACTGAGGACGCGCTCCTGCAGCACTGCCACTGGGCGCCGTCGCAGGGGTCAGCCACGCGAGCACTGCCTGGGCGCGGCCTACGCCCGCTGGGCCCGGCCACGTCACCCCACGCCCAGCTCAGAGGAGGCTGGCCTGTCATCTCTGCTGTGGAGGAGGGCGCATCCATGCCCACAGAAGTGCGCTCCGTGGGCGTCCCCAAAACAGGAAGCAAAGGAGTACGAAAGGGGGGCTGTGGCCCAGCAGCTAGGGAGCTGGGTCCCGTCTGGCTGACCCCGTGGTTCGAATCCCAGCCCCCGCGGTGGGGGTGTGGGTGCATGTGCTTCTGCGTGTGTGTCCGGAACCCTGACAGGATGGAGAGGGAGAGAGGGGACTGAGGCATGACCAAGCCCCGTGGACGGTGTTTCCTCTCTCCTTTGGTCTCTAGTGAGTGCACGTGCCTTTAAGGCCCTCGCTCTGCCCCCCGCTTTCACCGGCAGAGGGCCTGTTCCACCTTGTCCGTCTCCCTCCAGGCCGACCCTGCCGACACTGCCTGTCCTCCCACGCATGCTGGCCACGTCTCAGGTGGCCTGGCTGGGGCTCATGTGCCATGCAGCTTCTCAAGCAGGGCGTCCGCACAGCCCACGGAGGGGCCCCACCGCCTCTCCGGGTGCTCAAGACGCTCCCCCAACCTGCCCCCACCCACGGGTGAGAGCCCAGAGGAACAACCAGGGCCTGACTGCACTGCGGCAGGAACACACTGCTCAGAAGCCAGATCCCACGTGGCAACAGGTTCAAATCCCAGGTGGTTAGCCTGAAACACGCCAGCAAGCATGTGAGTGCCCAGGGGCTGAAGGACAGGAAGAAGGGGTCCCAATGTGCCCGTGTGCCCAGCCAGCGGGGCCAGCGCTGCTCGTGGTCAGGAGACGGCAGGCAGGGCGGGAGAGGAGAAGGCACTTGTGGAGGCCGCCACAGGGAGGCAGGAGCAAGCACCAACTGTCCTGAGAAGCTCGACGTGTCCCGGGCTCAACATGTCTCCTAAGATACACCTCTGCGATGTTCTGGTCTGGGCAGTCCTCATCTGCTCACGCCAGTAGGGTCCCAGTCTGGGTGGTCGGAACAAGGAATGGCGCCCTCTGGGAGGGGCCTGGCGGCCTGAGGCTGTCCCGCTGCCTTTGTGTTGGGTCGTCCTGTGTTGCTGTAGGGCACGTGCACTCCCCTGAGACCCAGAGGGACAGTGAGAAAGGTCTCCGTGGCATGGCCACGGCGATCCCTCCCCACCTCCTCTCGGGGTTCTGAGCACACGAACACGAGCCCGGAATGTTTGGCAAGTTGTCGGGGCCAGGATTCAAACCCCGAGTCAGCCATGTGGGATCCACGCCTCCTGCCGCCCTGCCTGGCGCCGGCTGCCTCTCATCAGCTTGTCATCCCGCAGCCTGAACGTCCCCTAAGCATGGCTACCAGTGGCACGGCGGTGGCAGGAGGCGCCCGC